GTGAGCTAGGTTTATGCCTTGCTTCTTTGACTTACTTAAGCTCTCAATACGTTTAAGGCTGCGACTGGCACCTATGTAAAAGGAACGGCACAGAAACATTAGAATCGCCATAATAGCCGCTGGAATTAGCAGCCAATAGTTGGCAATAGCCACAATAACTAACACTGCCACCACATCCACAAAAAACTGTAAGAAATTGAGAAAAACATTTAAAAACCAATTATTATATTTGCCTTTTTTAGTTGGGACTAACCTGCAGTGAGTCCATCATGGCCTGTGGCAGCGCAACATCCACATTCTCAATGTCGCTGGAAAAGCGATTCAGCACACGTCCCGAGGGATTTGCGTTAAAGAAGAACATGCGGGCACGAATTATCCCATAAAAGAGTTGATTATGTAGTCGAAGTGAAATACGCAGGCATAGGAGAAAAAATCCAAAAGTGCGCAACAAATATAATGCCAGGGTGCACACCAGGAGGACTGAGTACCAAGTGACCATACGTGTGCGCGCCTCTTCGAATTGCTCGGATGTTTCGTATTCTCGATTCTCCTCCCAAGTCGCCCAACGAGATATAAAGATGTCCATCAGTGCTTGCAAAACTCGGGCAAGTATAAAGAGGGCGAGCACCAAACATACCAAGATGGGAGAGCCCAGAGCACGGAAATAGTCCCTGTAGATGTCATAACCAACGGCGCCTTGATGCTGCCGCTCTGCGAAGTCGTTCCCGTTGTTTGGCTGCCCATCCACAGCCTTTGCAGGATCCTGGAATAGCTTGGAGTTTCTGTCGACTTGGCTAAGCACTCGCTTCACCTGCATCTTATCAACCTCAATAGCATCCAAATCTGGTGCTGCATGCTTTTCAATAATATCCCGAAGATCCGCATAGCTGCCTTGATGTGTTAGACGGCCCGATTCTAGTAGCAATAAATGATCAACTTGCTGCAGCAACTGCACATGATGAGTCACCAATATCCGCAGCTTGTCAGCCAAAAATCGATTGAAGCACTTCTCCATTAGCAGTTTACCCACTTTTGAGTCTACTGCAGCTAGTGGATCATCAAATAAATAAATATCTGCCTGACGATATACAGCACGCGCAAGACTTATCCTCGCCTTTTGCCCGCCGCTTAAGCTGATACCCCGTTCACCCACCACAGTTGCATCGCCACTGGGCAGCAGCGCCAGGTCACAGTCCAGCTGGCAAGCATGCACCACTCCACGGTAACGCTGCTCATCGTATGGCTCTACAAAGAGTATATTCTCACGAATGCTGGCCTGAAAGATCCAGGGCTCTTGCGGTGCATAGCTCAACTTGCCGAGCAGTTCCACGCGGCCTTGCATGAGCTCCACCTCGCCTAAAATAACATTCAGGAGGGTACTTTTCCCAGAGCCTACGTTCCCAACAATGCCCACCATTTGCGTCGCTCGAAGCTCAAAGCTAATGCCTTCAATATGCGCGCGGCGCGCTTGCCGTGTGTTTGGCATGTTCCAGCTCGCACTGACATTGCTAAAAGTAAGAGACCTGACATCGCTCTCCACACAATGCAGTCGACCAACAGAAAATGGCTTGGCTGATGCCGAAGCGTCTGTGTTGAGTTGCATTATGGGATTGTCACGACAACTGGAGCAGTTTTTACTAGTGGGTGATTCGTCCTGCTGCAGAAATTCCGTTACACGCCTTGCGCTGACCACAGTCTGTGCCCAGGTGGTGATGGCCAATGGCCAAAAGTGGAGCAGTGAATCATTCAAAAGACTGTAGTAAGACGAGAGTATAAACACCTTTTGTGCAGTGACCACGTCGCCGGTGTACACGTAAGCGATGAGACTGAGAAATAGGGAGACCTTCGATATCATATTGGTGCACTGCAGCGCAGCGTAGATGCTCATGGAACCGCGTATTTCTTTAACCTCGAGTTTGCGTACAGTGGCTATTATCTTCGCAAAAGATTACTCCCAGGCATACATTTTAATCACCTGTATGGCGCCTATAATCTCGTTCATTAGCTTGACACGCCGATCTCGCTGCTCCGCCGATCTTGTGCGAAATTGTGCTGCCGCCTTGGCTGCCCAGGCCTGTAACGGAATCAATAGAACAATAAAGGCAATTCCTATGAGAGCCGTCCAGCCAATCTGTGTGTACATAATGTATCCAAAGATGCACGCCTCCACAGGGCCCTTCCAAAGATCGTGAAAGAAATAAAATGTCAAATCGAACTGCGGCAGATCGATGGACATTACTGATATGGCCAAGGCGCCCAGTCCATCTCTGCCATTTATTGCCGCCCGCAAACACTTTCGGTATATTAGCCCAGCAAAGGCCACTCGGATACGTGTACCCACGGCAAATACATAAAACATAAATGGATGAAACACCAGTGAAGTCACTAGCGAGCACAGAACAATGCCCATTGCGTACATGTATGCGTCTTCCTTAGTGATTCTAGTTTGCCCCTCGGCAAAGTAAGAGATCAAACCGCCCAGAAATATTGGCTGAAAGGCGCTGCGTTAAAAAAAGAAAGGTTGAGAGTCGGCACATCAGTGAAATAGATTGTTAAACCGCATTTAACCCGCAATTTTAAAGGCTATATCCTTTGGTAAGTTACTCATATTTAAAATTCTTGAACTACTGAATTCTAGAGGGGCTATAAAATTGCTTGATTAAATACCAACTAAGAGTGGATTCTCCCACACTCCAAGCTACACTCACTGTATAACGATCTCCAGCGTTGAGTAGATCACACAGACAGGAACGAATTGACAGCCGTAAAATGTGAAGATCAAATGTAGCACACTTGGCCTTTTGCGTTGCGATTCACGTATCCAGGGCTGCTGCAAATCCTCCGTCAGTTTATCGCTGTCGAAGGAGGGCAGATTGGCGTATAGCTCGTTGTCCGATAGTTCTTCTCGGCGTCCTTTAGCGAACACATGACGCATCCATCTAAAGTATTAAAATAACAAATAAGCGCCGAGTCTTAGTTTGTCATATCTGTTAGACTGAAGCAACGTGCTGGTGAACAGGCACAATACACAGATTCGTTAGTTCACCAATGATTTATTTGGAGCGAGTAATCAAATGTATGCAAGGTTAAATATTTTGCAGACCACCTTATCGAGTCAGACAGGAGATATGGAGCTTAACTGGGTTGTCAATCATGAATTATTTTTTTACACATTGCGATTTTATGTTGAACTCACACGAAAAACCACTTTGAAAAAATATTTGCCTCTAGAAAGGGATTTGTTTCGCGTTTTTGGTTTGCCTGCTTATTCATAGCGCCATTCACGAATTTTTACTACCATCTACGGTTGCCGATTTAAAAATGCGTCGTATGGTGTCTATACCACCTCTTATAACTAATTTTTGTGTTCGTTTGAAGTGCTAGCCAGACCGTCATCAGAACACACTTAAACGTATTTTGCACTTGGCACACTGCAAACTGCTGATAAAAGTGGCGGTCAGTTGGCCAATGGGACTTGTCTGATGCTTGTGGCTAGTATAGTCAAATGCGTAATCAACAGCATTATAACGCAGAAAATTGCCGGCCATTTGTGCGGCCATTTAGTGCAAATTGCAACTGAGTTTGTTTTACTTAAGCGTGCCCTGTAAATCTTCGGGATTTTTTGGTAATTCGGCTTTTTGCCTCGAGTGATAAAAATGATTAGCGTTGTTTTTGGACGGGGCAACGTTCTCCGACAGCTGTTTGAGGTTGTACAATCTAATCATGGCGAATTTAAATGCTATTTCGTTATAAATTTCGTCACAGATAAGTTGCCTACAACTATTTTTACGGCAATATGTACGATAAAAATAGATGAAAGCCATTGTTCAGTTGATGCTAAGTTTTAATAAGACATACACGTGCACAGCCAATGGGCGAGGCTATAAATACAAACAGTAACACAAATATTGAAGTAGGAGTTAAAAAAAAAACAATAGTTTAAGACATTCCACAATACGACAAATAGATGTCAATCTAGTTTTTCAGCTGACTTTGGAATTCTAAGGTAGAGCGTGCAGCTCCTCTAGCGTATAAAGTTGATTCGTGCGATCGTATACCATACGCATATGATGCAACATATCTGGCAGCTTTTCAATGGCGCGCGGCACATCCGCATCGTGACAGACGCGCTTGAAGAGCTCGCCGCGCGTGGGTATCGCAAACATTGCCACCTGGGCACCTTTGCGTATAAGGAATGGGTGATGCCTGGCTAGCGTGTCGTTGTATGCTGACTTGCAGACATGGTGCGCTCTTTCGCCATCGGCCACGTCTCGCAGACGGTTCAAAAACTCGTACACAAACTCTGCAAATAAAAATATAAGATAACGATAAGATGATATCTTATGGTAAAGCAACTACCTAAGCCACGATGTAGGCGCAATAAAGTGCGACTGCCAGACACGTAGCCTTTCTGACGCAGTAGGCTGGCACCCTTTTCATACAGGATCATTGTTTTGATGCTGTCGAAGTGCTTTTCACTCCCGGTGTCCTGCTGTCGATGCTCATAGAGAATATCCAGTTTGGTGCGCACGTCGCTGCTCACAAATGTGAACACGCTGCCCATTAGCAAAAAGAATCTAGGGAAGCAGCTCTTAATTGTTGTGTATTGATGTTTCCTTATTGACTTACTTCATGATTTCCTCGTATGCCTCCAGATAGTCTTCCATGCGAACATCATCATCATCAATTAGGCTACCTTCAAATAGTTCTGAAACTTTTTCAATATCAAAACAATTTTCTCCAGCTACAGAATCGCCTACAGCTGACATTTTTAATATATCCTCATGCAGTATAGCTTCTATTGTCGTCAATAAAAACAATTAAATATCAGATATCGGTATCGGTACACAAATATCGATACGACGTTATAGGTTTCTGTTTATGTTTTTCGATAAGTTAGCTATGCGTTCGCGTCGGCTAAATTTGTATGTATACGATAGTCGATTTGCGTGGTATTATTTGGCATATTTAATACATAAAATCCTATCGGTATTTGTTGATATCGATATATAATATCATCTGTTTTAAAAGCAAGTGCGAAATGAATTTAGAAACATCTTCCGAGCTTTTGCTCACAAAAGAACAATTACAAAACATATTAGCCAAGCTGACCGCGGGATATATAACGTCCGCAGAACCAATTACAACTACACCAATTCTGCCTCAATACAAAAAACTTGGCGTACTCGTTGACTTTGATGAAATTGTAGAAGCTAAAGCAACGAAAGTTCCCACATACAAAAATATCGTAAATGCTAAGACGACACAATCCCAGTACTACAGCTGCATTCAATGTCGGCGCCAACTTCCCACTGCACATTTATTGGATCTGCACATCACCGAACTGCACGATTTGTATTTTGCGGCAAGCGTGGAGCGCGGCGATAAGCCTCTATACGCTTGCTACATTGAAGAGTGTACTATGAAATTCTATATGCCAAGTGAGCGTAAGGACCATTGCATCACGCTGCACAAGTTTCCGGTGAACTATCGTTTTGATCAAGAAAAGATCACTAAAACAAAGAGTCGCAAGAAGAAAGATGCGGATGCCATGGATGTGGATAATGTGCCATCATCCAACGTGGGTAAACTTCCTTACATAAAGGCATTTAGCTTTGGGCATCCTACACAGCGAACTTTCAATACACGCAAGGAACGCGGCTCTGACAAGGCGTTGAACGATGTACAGGCAATGAAAGAAGCACTTGAAGACATGGACTAAGCTTTATGTTGCCATTTTATTACACGAAGTTTGCTTTATAAGATACTTGTATTAATTAACTTGCGGAAACGTGATGATTATTTTGTTTTGATGCTGGACCTGAAAATCGAGAATAAAATGAATTGTTATTGTAGGGTCAGATTTTTTCGACTAATACTTACTTTCCCGTGTTGGCGTTGATGTAATGGTAAGCAACAACGAGCAGAAAAAGGAAAACGCCCAGAACGTTTGAAAAGATGGCTAACTGCACGTCGGTGATCATTTTGGTGCTGAACCTCTAAAAAAAGAAAATTAGTATTTTTCAGAACGCTGGTGACACGTCATGTGTCAAGAGGCCGTGTATAAATTTGATATATCCACATAAAGTGCAGATAAAGTAAATTGCACGACATTAATTACGCGGCTTAAGTTAACAAACAGACTCTTGAAACATGATTTTAATCATATATTTACTTTTTGTAAAAAAACAAGCCGGTTTTGTTTAGACTTATTAAGTTAGCCAGAGATGCTAAATAGCTATCGATTCCTCCAAATCAAGTTGATTTTATGACACTATCGATATAAACAAGTTTCAGTACTAGTATTTTATAATCGAATATGTTATATTTATCTATCGATGTTTAAAAACTTCAACACCGATAGGAGAACTAAAAATACCAATTACCTGCCAAGTTCAAAACACTTGTTATTTATAAAATATTTTGATTTATTGAACGACCTATACATATTGTGAAATTTTCAAAAACTAGACAGAATTTAATATAATACTAATTAACGATTGCCAGAATAGCAAATCGAGATTTCTATAATCTTAAGGTCACTTTAGTGGTTATAGTCATCAACAACAATCGAAGGCCTGAATAAACGGTGCATACCTAAACGAATATCTCAGACTAATACATTAAGTTGTACATATATATGTTTGCCTGCGATCAGTCCATTAAATTACCATGTCTGACCACAGTTATGCAGTCACGAGGTAAAATTAAGTGGATTTCCACGATACACACACATAAAATGCTATTCATCTAGTTAAATTAAATTAATTTAAAATTGCATATATGTATGTAACTAAAAACAAACATAAGCTTGGCTTTGTTTTAACCGTTACATCAAGTGATACAATTTTGCAGATCCCTGTTTGGCTTATAAATTATGGAATTTGTGTCCTAAACGATTACTAAAACGATTATTGCAATAAATTGTGGGTTAATTTGTTGTAAGAACAACCGATGTACGTGTCTGGCTTAAGTCCTGTGAGCTCCGAGGCAAGTACGGTTGCGTGCGAGGCTTTGTCGGAAACAAGTCCGATACGTAGTTGGCCTGAAAGTAAAAAGGGTTTGTGGTTATTAAAGTACATTTTTCAATTTTTGCGTGATAATATTTTAGGAAGCTCCTAAAAGTATGGTATGGTATATAAATGATCCTAGGCACATAAACTAATGGCTAAACTAAAATAAAAAATAATATTTATCCATAGACTAATTACTTTCTGATATTATGTGCATGAAAATTGAGCTTTTACCTCAATATTCAATGACTCCTAATGGGCATGAAAATATCTCTATATGTGGCCTGTGTGTCAGTTCAAATGCTGTGAATATCCGTCAAACATAATGCAGCATAAAATTGCAGATCTTTATATATATATGTATCTAGTTGCAATGTGCAGCTGGTCATTATTCATTTGAAACCAACTCTACGATTGCGTGCCACATGCCAATTTGCAAAAATATGGCAGGAAGGTGTTTAAACCGGGTCAATTAGGGGCATGACTTGATAAAACGAATGGCGAACTTCTGATATTAGGCAGAACGAGTTAAAGGAAACGCCAAGTTGTGTATGTCAATTCAAGTTATTTTAATCGCTAAGAGTCTGCTTTACAATGCTTTAAATTAACCAGAAAAATATCTATGATCTGTTAATGCTTCTGAGCGAATTCACTGGGTTTTACCATATTTGCTGAGCCAAACAGATTGCAAGTTGAAACAAGCTTTGGGCATAAAGTAGCACTAGAAAAAGATGATCAAGTGATGTATGGTAAAGCGTGGTACATATGACACGACAATCAGATATTGTATTTGGACTATGTTAGAGGCAGCACAGTTGAACTTACCACGATCAGCGCACAGGCTGCTCCAATGGCTGAGCCGGCTAGCACATCCGACCAGTGATGCTTGTAGTCCGAGACGCGGCTCAGTGCCGTGTACCAGGCGATCATAATAAATAGGAACTGTAGAAAGTGGCGCAGCAGCTTCGATCCCTTCCAGTTCATGCGGGATTGCAAGTAGAGCTGCAAGTGAAAATTCGAATAAGCAAAAGGCAAAGATGGTAAACAAAGGCGCCACACTTACCGCCACATAAACCATGGTATAGAAGGTGAAGCTAGAGTGTCCACTGGGAAACGATAGGCGCATCTCCTTCAGCATGCGCGCCGACGAGCCAACTCCCTGACACTTGAAGTCCGTTATGTATTTGCCGACATTGGTCGCATTATCGCAGTTGGAGCCATCGGGCATGAGTGGCTGGCACACCTGTGAATATGTTAGGAGCAAACGCACACTTATTAAAAACCCAGCCGGAAAGCAGTTCAATGAAAGCTGCTTAGTTACTGTCCCATGTTCCCTAGTCCCTCCCCCCTGTTTGCAACATGTGCTGCACATTTACAAGGCAACTGCTACACATTTTATGCGCAATTTTGCACAACTGTTGCCGCACTTCACTAAATAATAGGGCGTCTCTGTACTGTTTGACAGCTGGGGGAGCCATAACAAGACGACGCAGTGCCCCGCCACCAGAGACAACTCTTGCCACCAAAGTTGTTGGCGACACGCGAAAATGCGAGGACTGCGCAACAAATATATAGATATATATATATATATATATATATATATATATATATATGTGTATATATATAACTATGAAATTTTTTTGATTTGGTTCAAGTTTTAATTAAAGTTCGGTTCAGCTTAATGTGGGGCTGTTCTTTAGTCAACTTATCCTGGTCAAGATTCGGTTAATGGCAAATTAATGCTGCAGTTCATGCCCCTATTCAAAGTCTAACGAATATTCCTTCAAGCAATTTAAAATTGTTACTGATTTCTTAAACGGCCCTCGTTTGTTGCAACCGCAACAGTTTGTGGAAGCAGTCAAAATGGGTGAAATAAACATTAAAAAAGAAAATAAAAATAAATTGTCATTTGGAGCTCGACGCATGTCAATGTTTAAATTAAATGCACTTATTAATAGCCTCTTCGTGTGTGTCTCCTATCACATGTCCTGTAGCATCTGTTGCATATTAAAATTAATTGGCGATGTCAAATGTGAACTCGACTTTCTTAATTGCCATCCGATTAGGCAACTTACCGCTATGAAATGTGGACGCAGACGGCCAATCGAATACTTGGCTATATCCGTGGTTAGTTGACTGACGGCGGCGCCAAAGGCGAATACACCCATTTTTTTGTAGCACTCGATCAGCCAGTCGGGAATCTCATATGACATGAAGACATAGCGCCTAGACGTTCCCGTTCCATTAGCACTTTCTTCCCGCGAGCGCAGCAGTTCGATGCAGAGGATCTGTAGAAGAGTGAACGAGGGAAATGTCGGTGAGTGCGTTTATCAGTGGACATTTCCTTTTAGCACCTCGTCGAGAGTGTTTTCTTAGGAATAGCTACAATAAATAGGCATGGAAAGGTATGCAAATAACGATGTTGCCTTCGACCTCGTTTTGTGCTATATTTGTGATTTGTTTTATTTAGGCTTCGTAGGAATTAGGGCCATAGTTTTATAGCCCATTACGATGGCACAGATGTTGCTCTGGATTCATTGTCGACATGTGGACCGTCGAATAGCCACCATGTGGCAGATGACTAGTCTCGATCTCTGGCAACTGGCGTATTGCATCAGCTTAAAACTGGAGCACACTGAAGAGTTTTATTTTCTAGCTTTTTAAATACGTTATCGGCAATTGTGTGAACTTGAAATGATTGTGTAATGCGCTCTGGGGACTGAAGACTGACATATGTTTGACACATTTAACATGGGTGGCCACTTGGGAGCAGTGCCAAGAGCTCCTCCACCCCCAATTGCCCGCAGCAAGCAGTACGCGATTTAATTCAATTCAATTCAATTATATTGCCCAAAAAGCCATTTGAGTTGTGCTTTCTCTCTCTCTTCTGTACTTACCACGCCGACTGGTATCACCAGCCCGATAATGTACAGCATCCAGTTCCTCACGGTCGAGTCCTTAAAGGGATGCTTCAGCGATTCATCGTCACAAAAGAAGCCGCGTTTATATGGATCCCCAAGCAGAAAGAACAAAAGTATGGGAAAACCAACTACAAATGGAAAATATAGATTTGATCAATAAATAGGAATTTAATCTAAAAGGTAACTACTTAGACGATTAATATTTTAAAGTTGTGCCCAGTTGCCGTAGCTTCAACTTTTGTGTCACAAAGTATATTATAGATAGATCTATCAATATGCATTTAGTAGGTCATTGGGACTTGCGTTGAATATTATGTGGCATTATCGGCCGACTATACCTCCACCCTCCAGCCCTTCCCCCCCAAAAATATATAAATTTTGGTATGAATGACACTGTTGACTTATGTCTAAGCTATTGATAAGATTACCAATCGACTTCTTGTGCGGCGTGCCGAATACGTAGGGAGACAACACGACGACCAACTATTTTGGGCCCAACAGCTGCACGCAGCATATCGTATAGGGGGGAGCGGAGAGGGGTCATGGGGAATTGGAGGGTATTGTAGAGCCATGGAGCTATCAACATGTTACCCACATTCTCTTTTAAATTAAAAATGCACTGCCATTAATAACAACTTTAAGGCATGCAAATAGCGCGGCTAGACAAATGGTCTGTGAACAGCACACATTTTGATTGATTGATTGATCAAGCGAACTCATCCATCAAAACGTGGCTATCAAAAGTGTCAGCGACACTTGAAATATGTTTGTTTTGAGCACAGTCCACGCACACTGTGCTAATTATAATGCATCGTATATAAGTACGAGTATCTAATTAAAATTAGATTAAGGCTCACAAATGCCCACCAGCCGGAACAGCACTCCATGCTACAGTTGCAGTTACAGTTAGAAAGTGCCTAATTGCCATTGCAATCGTGCGTATTACCTGCGTGAAAGATGGCCAGCACTGCGCTAAAAAATTGGAAAGCCAGAGCCCTTAAATTCGAGGTTACTTTCGTAAGTGAGTCACAAGAGAGAATACTCTTGCCTCACTATATCTGACTATTTATATCCGACTATTTATAGAGCCAAGTGCTCATTAGCTAGATGCCGATGTCTCGCCAGAATCTTATGTAGAGTACTCGCTGGCGACGATTGCCCGCAGAGGCAGACGGAGGACTTTTCAACTTGGAGTTGGTTATTAATTTTACCACCCAATGCCAGACAAAGGGACACCATTTGAGTTAGGCAATCGGGGATCGAGGACAAAGGTTGACACTGAATGAAAATGAAGCAGGGAAAGCAGCTGCATTGAGAACAGGTTCGATCTCTAAGACACATGAAAAGCGAAAAGTAAAGCAACAATTGTGTGGAGTCTTAACGATCTGCGCTGGGAAAGTTATGGCCCAGGCATTGTTGCCAGATTAGAGTCATATTACAACAGCAAGTGGCCTTTGTATGCGGGCGGTTCATCCTCTGCCTAAAACGGTAGCTCCTATCTACTGTATCTGCGATGGCATGGTGGTAGATTTTATGACTTTGCGTCTCGAAATAGAGCGCATAATCCGACATTCGCTAGCTAGAACATCTCTATGTATATATATATATATATACCAGCCATAGCTAAATAGATTGAATATGTTGCTGTGGTTCTTTTTATGAGATTGCCATTCGAAATGGTGGGGCATGGGTTAAAAAATTTGTTTGATAGAGGCTGGCAACCTGGGGCGGAAGTAGTTCGTTTAAAGGCAAACCTCAAATCGTGTCACAGCAAGTTCAACCGAACAGAAGCTGTCGCATTTTGATATTATTGAGAGTGTTTTGCGTCCATTTGGTGTCAAGTCCATTTCAATAATACTTAAAGCATAAACAGCCGACGAAATTGTTGATTCCCCCTCAAAAAAAAAAAACAAATTATTTGATAAACAAAGAGGTAAACGCTCTAGATGCTTAGGTAAACACCCCACCTCAGCTCTTGAATTGAGACCAAAAGGGAGCCGCTGCTGCCACCGGCCTACACACATCTATTTGATTCTTGACTTATCTCCGTTTCCAGTGTATGCAACTGGGAAACTGCATTTTGTATCTGTTGTACGCTTTTGTATCTCCATGTCGCACTCTTTCAAGTTGTGGGCTAAGCTGGTTTACAAACATTGGGCGGCACGTTAGAAATGTGCCTTTATCATTAGTTCTACAAGCAATTAATTCAAGTTGGAAATAACGTAAGCCAAAACTAAAATCTCATCTCATATGCAGTAGATGGGCAAGACAATGACTTGTCTGGCCGTTAAATTCTAATAGCATTCATTAAGCAAGACGGAAGTTTAATTAAAGGCAATTAATGCCAAAGATTTGCACTCTTAACCTCCAAGCCAAGTGACAGCAGACTGCAGACTCGTTCTCCCGTTGGTAGACTTCAGACTCCGGCAGAAGCTCTGGGATGACTGACAGCTCACAATTGATTGATCAGCAACGTTTTTCCCATGTATCAGGCCCAGACATCAGATAGCAAATTCTTTGGCAATTTCGCGCTTTACTGCGCCAAATCAGTTTTCGAGACAATGCCGCAGACTCTCCGGGAGGCGGCACATTAAGTGCAATGTGCAATGCACATGTGCAGCACTACTAGAAATTCCCAGAGAACCGGCAAAGGTGTCTCTGCTGGTGTCCACCAGGTAAGGCCACGATGCGACGCCTTTGTGTGTTGTCCCATAAGTCATGGCAGGTCATGAACAGAAAAGAAAATTACAATCAGAGCCAGACTGATGAGTACCGGGCAAACGGGGCACAGGTAATTACATTTTCAATGCCCACAAAAACGTAGCAAAAATATAAAAGAAGATATACAACGATTTGACAGATATGCAAGATACCCTACAATATGTAATAAGAAAATAAATACTTCTATGCTAACAATGGGTTCTAGGTTTAATTCGCCAATGCCAATGCCAATGAGCAATGCTCAGGTGCTTTATGTCCATCAAAGTTGGATGCTGATCTAGCATTGATAACACACAAATGAATATCCCTTGCATTTATTATTTCAGGGTATAAGCACCACTGTCATTAATTGTACTTGTAGATGTGTATCCCTCGCTTTGTTTGTTATTGCGGCCTTTTGGGTAGAAAATAAACAACAATATTGGGAGAAAGAATTGGAAAAGTGATTGCCTCCATGGCCGTGACAACCAAATGCGTAACATAAATATTTTTCTTTCTACTTAGTTTTAAGTTGAACGGAGGTTTCAACTCCCCCGCGCACTCACGGACAATAAATTATTGAAGTGCGTGCGCACTTTTTCTCTTTTTCTCTTTTATGAGTTTAATGACTTATCCACAAGCCCACAAAAGTTGGAGGCAGTTTCAACTGTGCCACAGCTCGTTCGCATTCAATTAACGTCAGACACGCTTCAAGTTTATTCCAACTGAGTTTTCTTGTTTAGATACTAGGTAGGTGCCGCTGTCAAAAGACACCAGCCAGAAGATCACTATAGTTGAGATAGACGAACACTCTCTCGGTTTGGATATATCACTTTATCAGCGTCTTGCGTCAGATCTAATGTACCCCCAAATTAGTAGAGGACAGACAGAAATGTGCATCACATCCGACAGCACCACAAAAGACTCTGGCCACAATCTTAAAAGGTGTTTCTTACTCTCAAAAGGCCGCACACAATCTGATTCGTATATTACAAAATTCAACTAATTGGAATTTATATGGATAGAACTTTTTTGAGTTTTTTACATATTTAATTAAGTGTGCAGCTGGTAAAAGTTTTCTCCTTTTAATGACAGCGTCTCTTATTTATGGACGCAACTTTTCTGTGAGAGGGCTTTTATTTTCATTTGGGTCGAAAAATCAATACGATACGATTTCTTGATTATGTCGCCAGTCATTGTTGAAATAATTAAAGTCATTTGTATACTTTATTTGTTCTTATCGACCAGATAGCTCCCTACAGCTTTGCCTGTAAATTCCCTTGTTTTTAACCATTCTGTGTCAATATATTTATTACTGACAAAGGTGACTAGCTCCCACTTATTGCCAAATGCGAAATAGATAAGCACGCACATGTTTTAGAGTAAAGTGATTCATCAAGGATTATTTTTTTTGTACATTCGTTGCTTTCTTTTATTGTATCTACTGGTGCTTCATCACGCACTGCGGCAGCTTTAGGATAAGCCCAACAAGCGGATGAGTCAACCTGAGTTACCTGATCCCAATCTACAGTTATTTATTTATATTTAAGCATGTTTGTGTGTGTGTGTGTGTTGAGTGATGGGGCCATGTCAAAAGATCTGGGGTTTATGAGAGTCATTCATGTATACTTATATACGCATGTACATATATGCACTACAAATAGATATCAACTGTTCAAATAAGTAAATGGCACAAAAAGCTGTAAATTAAGCTTGAGGTCGAAAGCAACAAACATGGCGACATTTCGCTTTATGTTGGAAAAAAGGTGTTGTGCTCAATTATTGCAGTTGCCAATTGCAAAAACATCTAAAAACAGGTAAATCGAATTTGGTGACTCACATATTTGGAGAGAGAGCTGGGAGTACAATACATGGCCAATATTTTTAAAATCTAGAGACTTCAGGTGAGGCTAGCCTGAGAACGGGTTTTAAATTTTAAAAATTAAAGAAACTATGTATTGCTTAGCACACACACGTTTTTTCGAAGATTGCTGATAACAGCTGAAATATGATTTTGCTGATATTGTGGGGCTACAAACGTTTATTATAACTCCCCCGACGAGTTGTACAGTCGGGAACGTTCCCTTTTCGGTGACACAATTCCGCGTCTGTGCTTGCAACTATTGACAAAAGGCGCAGTAAGGGAAAATATAATGCAAGCAAAATGCATCGCCAGCTATGTATGTGTATATGCATGTACATATGTATTGGATAAGTTAGCTAAGTAAGCAGAAATTGCTTGTGTATGTGGGTGCCCGATAAATTCTAACTACCTTTTCAGTGTTATGTAAATTATTCATGCTCCGAATAAAAATGGTTATTTATTATGGTTTACTAAGTTTTGTGGTCGCAATAAATAATTTAACGCGGAAATAACAAAATTGCGATTGTAAAATCAAACTGTGTTTTGGAATAAGCGATGTGGCCCGCTCAGCTGTTCGAAAGCGCCCATCTAAAGAGAGCAACAGCGTGCCTCTCAGTGAGATAAAGCTCTGCTGAACGAAGCCAACAGTGTGGAGCGCACGCACACACACACTGACGTACATGAAAATTACATAAAAAGAAATTCACAAAACAAACATTGCGACAACAACCAGGCGGCAAATTCACACATATGCATACGCATGAACACGCACACACACGTACGCGCGACATACATATTTAGATTCATATAAATATATGTATTATTGGAGAAACGAATGTGACAAATGTCAATTGGCAACACTCACCGCAGAGTAAAATCAAAACATCGAGTCCCACTCGGCACAAAATGCGCTTGTTTGTGTCCATAGCTTTGTTTTGTTGTTGTTGGTCGCGATTGTTGTTGTTGCTGTGCAGACGCTCCTCAATACTGAAGTTATTTTCGTTGTTGCTCGGAATAGTCAACGCTGTCTGTGCAGGTGGAACTCCAACGATGGTGACGTGTTTGTTGTTGTTGTTAATAGCCACGTTAGCGCTTGATTCTGCACTCAACTGACTTTCCGGCCGACGCAGCGGTGTTGTCTCGCTCGCTGACGATTCGTTACTCATTTCCAATTCGCTTAAATGCTTTTGGGTGATTTAAAATGTTGGAAAAAGCTTACCAAAGCTCACTCTCTCTCTCTCGCTCGCTCTTCTCTCTTGCCCACTTGATAATGAACTTGGGTTTTTTAGCGTCGCAAGCAGCTAAGATTGTTCTGCTCACCTTTGATGCTCAGGTAAAATGTTGATGTTATAAAAACGTCATTTCTGAATAGAGGGTTACAAAATTATAATTTAAAACAGAAATCTTGGTTTATACAACGGCATTTGAGGTATGTATGTATCTTTGTATGAGTAATGCCGCGGATTCCCTTTAGAATTAAAGACAGCTATGACGACTTTACTCGGAAATATTCATACTGTGATTCATTATTGGGATTCGTTATATCGTTCAGAGCCAATTAACTTCAAAAGTTTAAACGAGTAACCAAAAAAAAATTTAAATAAAAACGAATCGTAAAAATTCAAACTGAACGCTAAACTTAAACTAAACCTCGTCGACCCGTTAACCTGTCCAGGAATTTCTCTCTTGCACACTTCCTATTTATCTACTCAAATATAGTTGTAAGTCTAGGGATAGTTTGATTGTAATGGGACGTAATCACCTCAGAGCCCAGTGAGTCGTGATTCAATCGCAGCACAGCATTCGTAGCCAATGGTTACGTTCTTGGACAGAATTATGCCAATTCGCTGTGCAAATAGTTTCTTGGTCAGAACCTCTATAATTTAATGCGGGTTGCTTAACTTGTTTACCCGCAAATGGAGCATTGTAATAAGCAGCTGCATGGGCTGCAATTGAAACCAGAACCTGTGGAGCAACAGCCGAGTTCCTAATTTGATATACCATCCGACGAAGTGCCAACCGTCAATCAAAAAGCAGCAGAATACCAAGCTGCACTGGGCTGCGATCAATCGACAGTAGATCTGCAGTTATCAGCTTCAAATATGACCAACAAGGATTCAACCGTCCAGCGAATCGCTGTGCAGCTTGGCAGACAAGACCTATTTATAGATAGCGAAACCAGCTCCAGCCTGCTCTTAAGAACAATTACTATGGCTCGAAAGACGGTTGTCTCTACGTCTTGGTAAGCCAACCAGTTGATTTCCATGCTCAAATGCCAATGATTAATTTCCTTTCCAACGGGGAGTTAAAAAAATGTTTTCCTGACAAAACTGCGTCTTAATTAAATACAGAAACTTTAAAGATTGTATCTCTGACTTGACTGGCTGAATGGTTGGAAAGTACAAGAGTACTCGGTATATTTGCCGGATTGTTTTCAATTAAACGAATGCGGCTTCTTTAAAAGGGTAAGCACAGCTGGCCAAACTTATGATCAACTGCTGCTGATCAACTTATGAAAAGATCATGATTGATAAATCTTATAAACCTTTGTCGCCTTAGATTTCTAGTCACTCACTCGCGGAATGCAGCTTATTATAAACTTCTTGAGCCATATTGAGTATGGGCGGGCAATGACCACAAGCTGGGTTAACCTTGCCTGCCGCTCCTTACCCCGCCCCCATCCCCCCGTCACAGGCAAGTGTCACGCTGCAGTTGCGCATGCTGCGAAATAAGGTCAACAAGCTGCATCTGCTGTGAGTTGTTGAAATTAACAAAAATATAATTGTGCATAAATAAAATTAAATGAAATGTAAATAATTTCATATGCGCATAAGCGGGAATTTACGACTGTGCGGCGTTAGCCACGCCAAGCGAAAGCATCGAAAATTTTAAATTATATCCGATTCCCAGTCCCGTCAGCAATATACCCGTCCCTGCCCATCTGCCAGGCTTCCCATGACGATTGGGGCATTCAATTTCACGGCCACGGCAGGCTGATTGGCAACGTGCATTGCGGCTGGCGAAAGGCAGGTGGCAAGAGTTATTCGCAGACTTATTGACGACTACGTCGACGACGCTGTCAGCGGAAGACAAAACGATACCTCGTCGTGGTCAATGTACTTATGTAAAGTGCTTGTTTATTTGCCATGTTAATAACGTTTATTAAATGCATTTTACACGTTGGGGCCGAAATCAGCAATTTGATGACGTTCACACGCGCCCAACATTGAAATCTAAGACGCTTCGACCAGGTTGAGTTGGCAGGAAGAATGGATTATGAAAAGTTCAAATCTAACTCAAGTTTCCATTCATTAATACACAAACAATGCAATGGAATGCAATGCAATTATATTTTACAATAACCTTTTATGGACTTGATTTTGGTCAGCTGCCAGTCTGTGCATGTTATTAACAACGGGGAACGTGACGCATTTGATGCTTCATTAAACTAATCAAAGTAATATCACCATGAAACGCAATTATTTAACTGTCAGCGTTAAGTGGCAAGTGAACGTAGTAGTGCCCATTATAGCTGATTATGAGACCCCATTCCCAGCCCACTGATAAGCAGAGCCAACCAGTTAACAAAGCTGCAAACAGCTAAAACGTTTTACAAATGGAAAGAACTTCACCGGACAATAATAGTAATTGGCCTTGACCCTGGGCCATCCATGGTTGCTAAAATCGATTTCACGATATTGGAAATGTTTTAAGTATTTACGCCCCCACAGAAGGCATTTGCGTGCCGTTCCTCAAGATCCGCGCAATTACACAATATGGACACCTATGTTTACTAATTGTTTTTATGTTTGTTTACTTTGGCATTAGCTTTGAGCTCTCGCAGATATTTTGCAATCTCACTTTCCTGTTTTCATTGCGTCGAGCGAATTCGAACATAGATAGAAAAATTGAATGGAAGGTATTATCTTTATTAACTGCCGAATCTACGCACACACACATGCAGAGAGCCAAACACGATTGTATAAATGTAAATATATGTACATATGGACATATATATTTTTGATAGAATATTTTACCTTTTGCCCAAAATGAATTGAATGATTACGTATTTATGAATATAGCGCTTTTTAATGTTTTTTCCTTTGGTGAAACCAGATGCGAGTTTTCCTCGACCACTTTGCAGCTTTGCTTCTAACGTCACTTATTTATTCATTTTCCTTGCGCATAAACAAATACGAAATCACAAAACATTTTCCGCGCCGAATTCTCATCAAAGTGGGCGACCGAACACGTCCGCTGAGTAAATTGTACTAAATATGGAGGCAAAGACAGACAGGCCTTGTGTTTGTCGTACACAGAGAGCCAGGCAGAAAGAAAAAGAGAGAATGAATTCTGTGCTCTTTTCGAACTTGATGAGAATAACACGGAATGTGCGCACATGCGTTGCTCAGGTACGGTATGTTCTAAGCTTAGATAAGATATGCATGTGATTTAGAAACAAAGGGGATTTTAGATAATAATGAGGTCACTAGTCCCGTAGAATAATTAATACTCGATAGACCTGAATGCCAAAACAAGACATTTTGTCTTAAATATATAAATATATATAATTTATCTATATATATTTATTTATTTATAAAGCTCAATTCGTTTGATCCGTAATAAATTTCTTAATCTTAAAGGCGAAAGAGTCGTTGTTTTTCGCTAGAATTAAACCCCTTAAATTTAAAGCCCTATTTCTCTGATCAGCACTAAATAATTTCTGATAGCTTTATAGACTCTATGGCTTGATCGATATAAAACAATTGCTAATACGTTTCCCCTATCGATCAAAAGAGATAGTACGCTGCCAGCTGCTAAGAGCGCTGCCGCTTTCAGCTCTCTTGCACTCTCGCTGCAGTTGATGGTGCTTCAGAGGTGCTTGGACAGTTGCCGCCGTGGTTGCTGCGCTCAGTTCTTCGGGTTCTGTTGAACGCTGCGGTCGCATTGATCTTGGTCGCTCGCTACTATTTTACCAGCTTCTGCATTCTCGTCGTTCTTCGCGGGCGGCGCTGCGCATGCGAAAGAAGGGCGTGTAAAGAAATTGCAAGTGCAATCGCAAGGCGTAGTTTAAAGAATAACGGAATTATAAAACAAAATAATCAACAATAGTATTTAAGCTAGCTCATCAAAGTGCTGCATAAAAATAGTAACGCAATTTAAGGCAGTTCAAGTAGTGCAAATATTTAAAAAAATTCGAAAAGTTTCTGTTTGGTTTTTGTGCGCTGACAGCAATATTTAACCGATATTTTAACTTTTCACTTGCGCAATTTCCATTTTACCCGCCTCTGACGAAAATCAGATTTTTTGTTTATTTTACATTATCGATTGCCGGGTTCTCATTTACGCAACTTGGCTACCAACGGCGACGCTTATCAGCCAGGCAAAGGCAGCGTTCGATGGCCACTAAGCCAGGGTAAATAGAATTCCGAGACCCGAGTCCATTAGCGTATGCCCAAAAAAGGCATATTTCTTCGTTATTGCATTTTAAATATTTGGACTGCTCAACTGATAAAAATATGCCCACACGCATCGGCAGCAAGGTGCAGTAGAGCCACACCCACGCTTCCGCCCACCATGAGTAGTCTGCGGCCCGCAAATGTCTGCGACACGACACCGCTGCAGCGCTTTGAGAGCCAAAGCAGCAGCGGCGAGGAGCCATCTTCGCCAACCGCGGCGAGCATTATAGCAGCCGCAGCAGCAGCAGCAGCGTCCACCTCCAACTCCCCACATCGACACCAACACCAACACTCCCCCCACAACAACAACAACAATATCAACAACAATGTAAAAGTTGATTTACAGCTGCCACCGTTTGTTGGGGCTGCGGCGGGGGCAATGGGTGGAGTGGGCGGAGGCGGCACTGGAACGATTGTCACAATGCCGCGTGCTCACGGCACAGCTCACATCTTTGGACGGATCGTCATGGACCTGAGCCTGCTCAGCTGCGGTGAGTTTCAGGCTCGACTAAAGCAACACAATAGAGAAACTCAACTTGAGCTTAGATCCCGTAGTATATGTATGTATGTACATATGTAAATGACAGGAATGAACTTGCACACTTCTTTTCAATTTGTTATACGATCTGTTATCATGTTTTGTACCAATTGAACTCTTGCTCTTTATGAATCTATTTAAATGGTCCAACTTGTCTGTTTTTGTGTTTATAAAGTGAATAAAGCTCATCGAGTGTGTGCCGTATCAGAATTTTAGTAGTCGCAACTATGTATTATCTGGCCCCTGGGGGGGGGGGGGGGGGGGGGGGGGCGCCTCTTGTCCATCGTTTTTATCGAAACCGTGTGCCGTTCATTTAATTAATAATAACATTCGGATTCGTAGAGTAAATGCTTTCCAACAGCGTTGGCATGTTTTTCAAATGAATAAGCATTTTTGCTGTTGGGGCTGTAGAGGATGCCCAATGTGAGACCAACCGAAATGGTGGCCCACTGGCCATTTGCGGCCTCAATCAGCGCCCAAATACATAAGTATTTGCGCATCGAGTGTTGTCTGATTTATATTTGACTTAATTTACGCAAATGTTTGTGGGGTGAATTTATTGTATTGTGAAAAGTTACCCGCTCAACGGCAGCAGCAACAACAATATCATCATCATCATTCATCAGCTTGATTTTCAATTGGAACTGGCGCTGTTTGTTTACCCAGGTCGAATTTGGGCATGATCAGCAGACCTTGTTTCGATGAGCCAGTGCGTCAGCTAGAATCTGACACCACATGGCAATGCTGATGTCCATCATTAAGCTGTGGCCCACCCTTGAGAAGTGCAGCCAACACACTCAGCTTACATTTCTTCATTCTTCCCAGTTCAACTATAACAATAAAGACGTCTTCTGATTTGCAATGTGGAGGAGAGTATTATATAGATTCATTTTTACCTGTTACAGTTGGCTTGACTATGTTGGCCTTCTCGTTGTGGTGTGAACCGATCAGGCGCGGATTCTTCTGCGGTGATCTCTCTTTGATGCATCCCTACAAGGAATCAACTATACGCAGCTGGATGCTGTATCTGATGTGTGCAGCGCTGCCCGTTTCTGTGGTAATTCAATGGACATTATTGATCTGCAAATCTTCTGCTTAATCCATGCCCTGCACACAGATTTTACTGGTTGAATTCTACAGGGCGCAGGACAAGCCCAAGTATGCCCACGGCCAGATTTGCAGCGGCTACTATCTGTGCCACATGGAGCTACCGCAATGGGTGCTGCAATGCTATCGCAAGATTGGCGCCTTTGTGTTCGGCCTGGGCGTGGAGCAGCTCACCACGGACATAGCCAAGTATGCCATTGGTCGACTGCGGCCGCACTTCTTTGCCGTAAGCGGAGCATTTTGCCTAATCTTGAATGGATTAACCATTATATATTTTGAATTCAGCTCTGCCAGCCAATGCTCCGTGACGGCACCAACTGCAATGATGCCATCAATGCAGGTCGCTATATCGAGGACTTTCAGTGCACGGCCTCCAGCATGAGCGCCAAGAGATTGAAGGACATGCATCTCTCCTTCCCCAGTGGCCATGCCAGCTTTGCATGTTACTCCATGGTCTACCTGGTGGTGCGTAATTATAACTGGACTGAAGTCATTTGGGTGTTTAACGCAGCTCGTTTTCCTATTCAGATCTATTTGCAGCGTCGCATGCACTGGTCGCGCCTCAAAATGTTGCGCCACCTGTTGCAGTTCCTGCTGCTCATGTTCGCCTGGTACACGGCGCTGACGCGCGTCTCCGACTACAAGCACCACTGGTCGGATGTGCTGGCCGGTGGCGCCATTGGCCTCACCTACGCCCTGGTGGTGGTAAGTCAATCCTTGCCTCTTCATATTAAATATATCAATATATTGAATTGACTTGTTCTTTACTCGAGACGTCGATCATTTGGTAGACTGGAACATCTCTCATCGAAACCCACCGCCTTCGGTCTTTGCTTTCAAATTCTTCGTGCACAGATTTGGGAAATTTTTAGCCATCGTCTCTATTTGTACAACTATTTAATCAGCTATATCAACTAATGTACATATGCTACTTATGTACAATGTACACTGTCTTTGTGTGTGTTTGACTTTAGTTTTACTTAATAAAATTTTGGTAGTGTATGTGTGTCCAAAAGGTGCTCTGTGTTTTTTAATAATAGTAGAATATTATTATCAAATTTAAATTCACATACACCATTAAATATTGTTATAATAATCTCAGCGACAGAGCATTTGACTTGCAATTGGCCAGTTTCAGTTAGCTCTGAATTATGGCCAGTTTACAATTAGCAATGGCTAAAGATCAGTGGTTGGCTGGTTGCATGCGATTTGCATATTAATCGAATTTACGGCCGTTTGCCATCGACACGCGCTCAACTTGCAGATGAGATCAGATGAGTTGAGTTGAGAAGAAGCCGATCACTCAATCAACAATCAACCACTCAGTTTGCTGAAGCTGGAGAAGATTGGGATGGTGGACAACGTCTTATCAGCACTTAGCGAAAAGCTGTGAGATTGATGCCGCTGTAAACTGTCAGAGAAATGTTGTCATCGTTTATTCTTTAAGAGCTTAGAAAAGGCAACGAGTTCTATATGGATCCCCTCCGACATACGATATACTCAACATGTACGATTACCCCAAATTTTCATCGCAAGCCTTTTGGCAATTAACACAATTTTTTATATCGCTTTTATCTGAACAATTACATTGCTTTTTCCCAAAAAATGTTCCCCCACTTCATTGAGACGACTTTCAATTGCCCCGGCCAGCATCTGCTGCCATCAATTGACGGGATTCGTGTCTGTCTACAGCTTCAAGTTGATTTCGAAAACTATTGCTATCCGCTAGAAAGCTAAATCGTGCTGCTATTCCCATTCCCATTGCAGTTGCAGTTGGGGAAGATCTGTAGCTGGATCTGGGGGGAACTTGTATTTTACGAGTATGACAAATGCTGGAAGGCGTAAAGGTTGCCTTCATTTGCAGTACTCGTTGCTCTGTACTCGGTGAGGGCTATCCGTAAAATTGGCTGCCAATTCAGGCGCAACATTAATTTTACCATGAAAATTACAGATTGCAAAGGTAACAGAATTAGCACAGCCCATTTCCATCGCTCTTGTTTATGGCATAAAGTGTGTAAAATTGCATTTAGGGTAGACAGAGATTTATATTGCCCGCACCCCAATAATACAGCGGGTATATCCCCTTGCACGATCAGCAGGGGTAAACTTTATTCTCAAAAATATGCCCACTGCTTTTTATTCGATTTTGTAACATTTTAATTACATGATTAATTATAATTTTAATTTAAAAGCAGGAGAATCTGCTCATTAAGCAGATCAATTGCCTCAAGAACTCGGCCAGGTATTTCCTTATTCGAGCAGACTCTGTTAAAGACCATGCCTACCTTTTCTGGCTTAGTTCTGCTGCACTTCTGGGCCACAAATCATAGAGCCATGTCCAGCGCGAAAAACGTTAAATTTTCCAAGTACAGCCCAAAGGCCAAGGGAACAGACCATTTCGTCTCATAGGCTGCGAAACGTGGGCCCAGCTTGCGTGGGTTACTTTTTTAATCAGAGTCGCTGGGCAGCTGTGGGCAGCCTTTTGTCTTGCACCTTGTGGCACGGACAAGATGTGCTTGTGCAACCACACAATAGGTGGTCACATGGTACATTTTTGTCCTGTGGCAGACATGCAGCTACGTGTGCTGTTATTTATATGGTGCTGTTTAGCCTGCAGACAGGGCTAGCAATTAGTGGGCATGGCAGTTAAGGTTGGCACTAAACTCTTAATAATGAGCTTTAGTCAATTTTTAGATAGGCGCATTATTTATGGCGCCCAGTGGCTAAGTGAAATCTATAAATCTTGGCAGCGCTTTAAAGATAAGCTGTCCAGCAGCTTCCTCCAATGGAAGAGATCGGTGCTAGGAGTACATAAATCTCAACACTTTTGGGCGTGCCCAGGCGGCATTGGCTTTAGATTTAACAACTCCAGATTCCAGATAGTTAACGGATTTATGTGCCCATTAGAACAATTTCAAGCAACGCCTTGTGTTGCCTTCAACAATTTAAAACCAGGCCTTTGCCAGGCCTCTTTTACAAGTTCGCGCTTCTTTCCATTTGAATGCATTCTAAATGCGACTTCGCAGTCGTCACGTTTGGCCAACAATTGTTGTCAAGACTGTATGTGTCACATAAATAACAAACAAGCCTTTTGGCACCCCTTCGCCTTCCTTTGCACCCCATGACACATAGCACATAATGCCGCACAGCAGGATGACAGCGCCTCTTTTGACACAACGCCCCTCCAAGGCCTTAACTCACAAGCTGAGCTGTCCCAGAGCCGAGGGAATAATCCATGAATGCACGCTTAAGTTTTATTTCGAAGCGCGACCAGAGTATTTATAGTAACAGTTTGTCGCAGATAAAGATGTTTACCTGGTTCATAAGTTAGCAAGGTAAACAATTCTACTATTTTAGTGAGGCCTGGAGAAATTTCTGGCTGATTTTTAGAAATTCTTGGAGTCTGGTGATGCCCCTCATTTGCATTCAGCCTCGTTAGCGTCTGGGACTTAAGCTGAAATTCAAATACGAGCTCGGTCAATGGATTCGTTGTAAAGATCATGGTTGTTGCGAATGTTTCGCTGGAGATGGGGGACATCAAACATTAAAAAAAAAAATATTGCGGACAGTTACCCTGGTTGTGTTTACAGATTTGGTAAGTTGGAAACGTGCCAAGTGGGCAACGTCTAGTTTTGATGGCCTGGCGAAAGGTGCGGCAGATTGACTTGCCTGCCAGGCAAGGCTTCTTAGCCGCAGTCGCTAATCCTAGCTGAAGATTGCTGAAATTACGCATCAAATGGAACAACGATTCCATCAGCCAATAGCCAGTTGTTGTACATGTACTATAAATAATTGCACATTTGGTTAAGCACATGAAAATTCCTTAACGCAATTACAAGGCAGCAATTTGTAGAAGAGCAGACGAACCAAATCAGTGCGTTTTAATTGAATAAACGCAGCAGTTATAAATGTTTACATTAAGTGAGTGCACCCTGATCCCCCTCCCCCCACCCATCCGATCAACTTTAATTAGCGGCAACAAGTCGAGACAAGGCAGCGAAACGAGCAACGGATGCGTTCAATTATGCCTGACATGGGCCGGAGGAGCAGTTGCGGCGCCATGTCCATGCAACACCCGTTCCCATAACCTGGAGCACATGTTGGTGTCAGAAAAATTGTCACTGGCCCGCGAGCAACACCTTTTCCGCCGATATCGGGCAACTCCATTAATTTGCATACGGTCAATTAGCCAGGCCGACGTTGGCCAAGCTAACGACCAGGTTTGAGAAGCTTGTAAATCATCAGCAAAGCAACGCGTGTCACGTTTGCATACATTTTATAGCTCTTGTGCGTGCTTCGCTTTTCCTCGCTGTCCTAGCGCGTGATTTATATCAGTCATATACATATTGATATGTACACAAATATTTAGTTCTTACAGATAGTGAAGGTGTGCTATCAACGTTTGACTTTGTTGCATTTGTTGATTAGCTTATAAGTTTCAAATCGTTTTGAATAATTTAAAACATTTGAATTTTGCGCCACTTTAATTCGCTCTGTTAATAAATATAAATAACAGCATGTTAACTCAAATGGGCACTGTTAATTTACAGCCCCCCAGCCCTGGTCACACTGTTTTTAACATAGTTCGCACAGCTGTTTTGCCATTCACATAGAAACTGTTCATAATCGATATCGTAATCGAAGGCACACCTGAAGTCGCGTTCGCGTTGTCATCATCGCTCCAAAACCTCTGCACACCAAATTTTGCCGTTTTTACACACGAAAACGTGTGTTTTTCTTTGCTTTTAATACGCATTAATATTGCTAAAGTTCTTATGCCAGCAGAGCGCAGCTGTTGTGGGTGATAACAATTTGTGCAACAAGTGGTTTTCAACTTGTTTTTTACTTCTCAACCAAAGTGCCTTACAAATACCGACGCGCGCACACGTATATTGTTTTTACCTGCCAGCTTGCACGCATACAAGCGCATACGTAAGCAACAACAAGTTGTGAACTTTATGCTTTGAATCCAATAAGATAATTACGCCGAAAAATGTTAAGCTCATACACATAATTTAATTAAAGCGCTCAGCCTCAGTGAATGAAAATAAAACTAATTAGAAGTGCTGACCAACAAAAAAAAACTACCAAAATCCCTACCGCGAGGATCAGTATCGCGTCTCTAAATGTGATACAAGAAGGGAACGAGAGAGGGCTTAATATCATTCAGTGTGTCTGTGTGTGCGTGTGTGTGAACAAAGCTTATTTACAACAAAAGCATCAATCCACAAATTGAAACAAGTGTATTTTAAATATAGATTACAAAGTCCATTTAAGCAAATAAAAATAACGCAGGTAATTACACATAACTGACATTTTTCACTTTTGCTTTTACATACGTACGCATACGTACATACATAAATATGCAAAAATACCTATGTGTACAAACAAACATACATATTGTACGCTCATTTCTTTCATTGACATTGTTTTTGCTTTTTTCTTTGCATGCTATGTAAGAGTTTTTGAGCGTTTTGTCTGCAGCGTACTGAAATATTTTGTATGCTATTTTCTTTTTATCGTTTCTCACTGCCCTGTGCTCTTTTTTTTATTGTTTTACCTTTCTACACATTTAACAGTCATCATCAATTTGCACTTGCTTCTTAATGTTGCTATCTCTTTTTACACTCAAAGAAATAGCAACAATACTAGCAGCGGGTCTTATAAGAATTATATTGGTGTGCTTGAAGTTTCTTGTTTGGCTACTCACAGACACACACACACATGCCGCTGCTTTGGAATGTTCTCTTCGATGCCTTTTGTGTTGTCGTTCCTGTTCTCAATACATTTTGTATTAGGTCTATGTGTGTGGACGTTGTCAACGGGTTTGGGCTATCATCATACACACACACACACACACACACACACACTCATCAAGCTAATTTCAATAAACATTGTAGACTGTGTAGCTTTGTTATTTCTTCCCGTTGCTTGTCCACCTTTTTTGTGTCAATCACCTGTTTTTCACACGCCAACCGCCAACCAATAACAACTCAAAATAAAGGGCAACATTCG